AAGTAATATTGAAAATTCAGTTGAATCTCCCGTTAGCGGACATCCTTGGGAACCGAAAAAAAAGTATCTGTTGGTGGAGCTGTCCGCGTAATAGGAATTGTGAACACAGGGGTTCAAAAAGCTGTCCGTATTAGGGCTGTCAACCTATGGGAGTGTCGCAAGTGGAGATTCCKCTGTATTTGGAAAACATAAGTACATGTACAGTATTGTGTTGTATCAATACGATACAAATGTTATTACAATATTATTGCAAGTGGTGGATTTGTCTTTTCGTTGTTGTGTTCAATATGTAATGTTTATTTTTGAACGTTTAATTTTGCCAACAGGATAGTGGAAAGAAAGACCAATCCACCCCCTCAAAATCTTCAGCTTCATCAAAAAAATCGCAGTCATCTTTGGGGAAGAAGTCGGTAAGTGTACATTCTTGAACTTTTATCTAATACAGCAAGCTACAAATGGATTAGCTATAGACAAGCAAGCAGTCATGTATTAAAAGGAGACAAAGAGAAAATAATTGTCAGAAAGCATAGAAACAGCTGCCTTTCATACTTCCAAACTTACCTGCATCTAGTAAGTCAGGATATACAGATGTAAATGGTCTTCAAAAAGCCCATTGTTTTCTTTCATTTATTTTCTTTTTCTCTTTTCAAGACATCTCAGACTCGTGGCAAGACAAGCCAAGCACCCCCTACCTCCCCCAATATCCATGAATCACACAGCCCAGTGCGTAATAAAGAAGGGAATAGAAGCTCTTCTGGAGCAGGCTATTTGCAGCCAACAAAAAGCTCCCAGGGGCCGTCAACACTCAAAACACAAGGAACGCCGAAGGCCAGACGTCCCAGTGAAAAGAAAAGATGACAAGCGGATTTTTCTCATTTGTGGCTATTTATGAAAATTTAAGAAGTGATTGTACTAGAGGAATCAATATAATAGTAATTGCCAGATGCGCTACATAGGGCCATACTCGTATATTGGGTTGGGTTTCCTGTGCCCTTGGTTTTCGCACAGGGGCTGGGAGGGGGGTTATAGAAATGTCGAATTACAAGGCACTACGTTTGTCTATAACCATGGCATGCAGCCTGTACAAGTCGTCTTACAACACGCCTACAACTATAGTAGACAACTAAAATAATGTATTGCTTTATAGCATTACGAAAGTTATACTCCTTCTACTCCTGTACTCTTAGAAAACCTATGGAGTCAACGTTAGATTAACGCTAATCGGGCTTTGAACAACTCGGCCCTGTCGTAAGGCATTTGCATTCTATGGTTATAGGCAAAGTATGTGCCGTCAAATTCGAAAGGGAACTATTGCATCATTTTCTTTCACTTTTAATTTTCAATCCACGAGTGCACATATTGTACAAAAAATCTCATCTCTTGGTAACACTTATATCCGAGTTAAGCACAGGGAGCCCACGTACGGTGTATTAAACTATTTTTCACCTGATATGTGATGAAAAAAGCTCATCCACACTGTTAGTGTACTGAATATCTACAATACGATACAATCAAATTATATACATATTTGGGTGTGTGTACATTTGACTCCACTTGATTTTTTTTGTGATAAAAACTTTTACATCGAAAGAACAAACTGACTAAACAAAGTAGATTCCATTTTTGAAATTATACTTCTAAACCAAGCTATACATTTCTTCCGAAAATAATCACTTGTATAAACGCGCACACTAGCTGTCTTTCGTTTCCTATCTTTGATAACTAAAATGTAAACCTTAACGTGACAATTGAGATATTGCCAAATGTTATTTGAAAGCACAACTAACTGAACCACTACCACATTCTGTCATACAATAAATGTTTGTTATCAACAATTTAACTGGCATAATGATATAATTTCCGAGAAATGTTCCCCATGGAGTACTCCCTCGTCCGTTTTAGGATGTGTTTCCACATGAGTACTCAGTTTGAAGTAATTCTCAAATCGCTAGATATCAAGGTGTGGTGGTTCTGGACAATAATCCGTTTTTCAATTTCGGTACCCCGCCTTTTTTTCCTATTGATCTTACCACTTAACCTGAACATGTTGTTTCGCGAAGTTTTACTTTGCTCGTATACGTTGTAGGCTATTGAAGTGAACAATCATGAAATATTCGCAAAATTTTCAAATTAATGTAAACGTGTATACTGCAAAATAAACCGATGACGGCGTACTGAAATCAAGAATTTTTAAGACGAGATTTTGCTAGGAAAATAGCACCAAAATCCAAAGTCTTCATAAAGCCATTCATGTCCTTCTGCCTCATCTGTAGAGCTTTTAAATTTCTTTTAAATTCAAGGCAGGCGAAGCGGTTTCCTGTGCCCTTGTGTTATTTTTTTGGCAAAGGTGTGGGTAGTTAGGGAAGGGTCATATTGGGATTTTTTTTTTTAACTTTCCATACATTTGTGCATAAATTGTAAAAAATTACCACTTGTTCTATGAAAATGAAGCCAAACACTTATTTGCTTTATGATATAACTGTCCAAACGTACTTCTAATGGAAAACTTTAGAAATTAACTCGACATTGTATTTACAATTTTTTTTTACAAACAAATTTTCAATCTTAAGTTTCAAAATGTTACAGTATATACATGATATCCGAAAGGAATCGCTATCCCTCAGTGCAGTGCTTATAAAATAGCAATGTTTGCAGATAACATTTTAACATTGTCAGATTGCGATGAAGCCTCAATGTTCTCTGTATCATTACGATAAGTGTCAGTTATTGAACACTGGTTCGCATTGTCTGCAGCAACATTATTCCCGTCTCTATGTCATTCAAGGTACTGTGCGGTTGTTCGGAAGACAGCAGTCTGCGAATTCTCCCTAACAATGACAAAATAGCTTTTCCTTTCTTGAAGCATTTTCGTGCCTCGTCGTGTCTTTCTAGTTTCTCTAAGGTTTCGCCAAGCAAGATGTACAGATCGGCAACTATTTGACTGTTCCTACCATATAGGATCTTTGCATTGGAAAGAAGTTCTTCATAGTATGGGACTGCCGACTCGTAACACTCCAAACTCTCGAGAGTAAACAAAAGTTTCAGGAGTGTGAGGCAAATGAGGTCATCATTCTCATTCAAAGCTCGAAAGAATTTTAGTACACTTTCAAAACACATTCTGGCTTCATTATATTGCTTCAAATTACAGAATGTCTCACCAAGGTCGATGACTGACGTACAAAAAGAATTCAAATGCTCGCCATTGCAGCCAGCAGCTAAAACGCTTTTGTAGCACGATTGAGCTTGGTGATAATCTCCTAATTCATAGAATGCTTTCCCAAGGTTAAAGAATGACGTATCCAAGGTTGGGCAGTCCTCACTGGTGTATTCAGCAGCCAGGACAGTTTTATAACATATTTCGGCTTCATAATATCTTGCCAGATGATAAAGAGAATCACCCAGGGCTAGAAAAACTTCAGGGTGCTTGCCACCATATCCTGTAGCTAAACACTGTTCAAAGGCTGTTTTTGCTTCAAAATAATCACCATCTTCATACTTTGCTTTACCAAGATTGAATTTTGCCGTACCAAGTGAATGATCATCGATACATTTTGCATTTTCACACTCTTCAAAACATGTTTTTGCTTCAGTAAACAGTCCCAAATCATATAAACTTATGACAAGTCTACAGATCGAGTCTCTCATTGCAGGACAGTCTCTCATACCATATCCACTCGCTAAGGCGTTTGTGTAACATGCTTTTGCCACATTTATCTCTCTCAAATCATAAAATGATGACCCAAATCTGACAATTGATTCGACAATAGAAGGACAGTCTTTGGCATATCCAGTGCTTAGGGCACCTACATAGCAATCTTGTGCATCATTAAAGTGTGCCTGGTTGTATAGGCAATTACCAAGAATGTAGATTGCATCACCCACAGGTGGGCAGTCTTTGCCATATCCAATGGTTAAGGCATTCATGTAACACGTCTTTGCCTCGTTTAACTGGTCCTGATCAAAGAACGTTTTACCAAGTTCGAATAGTGCTTCTCCCACAGAAGAAGAATCCTTACCATAACCAGTGGATAAAGCATTCATGTAACATTGTTTTGCCTCGGTTAACTGTCCCTGATCAAATAATTTTGCGCCAAGTTTGAAAATCGCTTTACCCACAGGTCGACAGTCTTTGCCATATCCAATGGTTAAGGAATTCATGTAACACGTCTTTGCCTCGTTTAACTGGCCCTGATCAAAGAACGCTTTGCCAAGTTCGAATAGTGCTTCTCCCACAGAAGAAGAGTCCTTACCATATCCAGTGGTTAGGGCACTCATGTAACATGCATTTGCCTCGTTTAACTTGCCCTGATCAAAGAAGCTTTCGCCGAGTTCGAAAATCGCTTCTCCCACAGTTAGAGAGTCCTTACCATATCCAATGGTTAAGGCATTCATGTAACACGTCTTTGCCTCGTTTAACTGTCCCTGATCAAAGAACGCTTTGCCAAGTTCGAATAGTGCTTCTCCCACAGAAGAAGAGTCCTTATCATAACCAGTGGATAAAGCATTCATGTAACATTGCTTTGCGTCGGTTAACTGTCCCTGATCAAATAATTTTGCGCCAAGTTTGAAAATCGCTTTACCCACAGGTCGACAGTCTTTGCCATATCCAGTGGATAAGGCATTAATGTAAATTGTATTTGCATCGTTTAAATGGTACTGTTCAAAGAACGCTGTGCCAAGTTCGAATAGTGCTTCTCCCACAGAAGAAGAGCACTTACCATATCCAGTGGTAAAGGCATTAATGTAACAAGTTTTTGCCTCGTTTAACTGGCCCTGATCAAAGAACGCTTTGCCAAGTTCGAATAGTGCTTCTCCCACAGTAGAAGAGTCCGTATCATAACCAGTGGATAAAGCATTCATGTAACATTGCTTTGCCTCGGTTAACTGTCCCTGATCAAATAATTTTGCGCCAAGTTTGAAAATCGCTTTACCCACTGCTGGACAGGCTTTACCATATCCAGTGGATAAGGCATTAATGTAAATTGTATTTGCATCGTTTAACTGGTCCTGTTCAAAGAACGCTGTGCCAAGTTCGAATAGTGCTTCTCCCACAGAAGAAGAGCACTTACCATATCCAGTGGTTAAGGCATTCATGTAACAAGTTTTTGCCTCGGTTAACTGGCCCTGATCAAGAAAGAATGAGCCAAGTTTGAAGACTGCTTTTCCAACTGACGGATGATTTATACCATGGGTAGTTAAGGCGTTGATATAGAACGGTTTTGCGTCATTATACTGGCCTAGATTATACAATGCTTTGCCAATTTCTAAGATTACTTGACCAACACAAGGAAGGTATTTCCCGAGAGAGGAAAAGCTTTCAAAAAGATCGACAATTGCGATACCTACAGACGGCGTTTCTTTGCCATATCTAGTAGTCATTGCAGCAATATAAAGTGTTTTCGCTTCAATTACCATTCCAAGATAGTATAATTCCTTGCCAAGGTCAAAGATTTGCTTACCCACGGTTTGGCAGTCTTTACCATATCCAACTGTTAATGCTTCTATATAACAATGCGCTGCATCATTGAGGTATTCAAGATTATACAATGGTGTGCCAAATTGAAATGGCTTTTCACTTACAGTTGCATAGTCTTTATCATATCCAGTATTTAATTTGCTCTGATCAAAAAACAATGTGCCAAGTTTGAAGACTTCTTCACCCACAGATTGACAGTTTTTACCATAAAAAGTGTACAGTGCATTTATATAGCATGTTTTTGCCTCATATAATTGGCCTTGATCCAGAAAGAGCTTGCCAAGTTTGAAAACTGCTTGGCCTACAAACGGAAGGTATGTACCATATCCGATGGATAATGCATTTATGTAACATGCATTTGCCTCGTTTAACTTGCCCTGATCAAAGAAGCTTTCGCAGAGTTCGAAAATCGCTTCAACCACAGTTAGAGAGTCCTTACCATATTTTGTGGTTAATGCGTGACTGTAACATGTTTTTGCTTCATTTAATTGATGTTGATCATACATAATTGAGCCAATGCGAAATATTTTTTGACCTAGCATTGGGTTATCTTTGCCATATCCAGATTTCGAAGCGTTAATGTAGCATGATGCTGCCTCAGGAAACTTTTCCTTTTTGGCCATTTCATCTCCAATGCCTGAGAGTAATTGACCAATCAAAGCGCGAGTACTGCAGTATCCAGAGGCTAGGCTTCTCTCGTAACATCTCTTGGCTCTAACATAGCGTTTTTGGCTGCGAAAGGTGTTACCAAGGTTTACATACGATTGAGCAATGTGTGTTATATAGTTTATATTTCCTGTTCTTTCAAAAGCCTCGTCAAGGGTTACAAGTACCTTGGGGTAGTCTCCCAATTTATTGTATATGTCAGCAAGTTTTATGAGTGCTTGAACTATCAAATTATGTTTTTCTCCATATTTACTCCTGAAAATAGCCAGAGCGTTCTCGCAAAAAGTCCTAGCTTCATTAAAGTGATTTTGCTTACTTAGTGACTGAGCAAGATTGAATTGTAATTCCCCGATTGTTGGATCATCATCTCCTCTGAAACGTTTCGCTATTCTGAGAGATTCTTTAAAGGTTTCTGCGGCCCCGTAATAACAGTGAAGTTCAAGTAGAGTTTTTCCTAGATTATTGAGTGTTGACCCCACCAATGGGTGGTTTTCGTTGTAAACAAAGTTATAAATAAAAAGTGCTTGGTTGTGGTCATGCCTTGCTTGATCATATTTCCGCAAGCGAAAAACACTGCGACCAAGCCTGTTTAAAGCATGTGCTACTTTGGGATGCTGTTCCCCGTAGACCCTTCTGTACGAAGACAGCGACTTTTCTAAATTCTTTATGGCTTCATGTAAATACCCATCACTAGAGCTATTGCCATCAGCTGCCAAAGTGTAGTTTGACTTTCCAAGTCCATAATATGAGCTTGCCTTGATGTAAAGATAGTCATTCAAATCCAGTCGAATGAATTCACTTTCGGACGACGACTGTTTCACCATTTTATGAATTTCTTCGTGTAGAATACTAGCATTTTGACAACATTTTTTTTCATCTATCATATTTCCCATTTCCTTTGATACTGCTGCAAGATTATTCAATATCTCGGCTTTTAACTTTAGCCAAGCATAGCTGTGTTCATATTCCAAATCACAAATGCCCAGTGCAACTTCGTGACAGTCTCTTGCTACAGAGAGTTCTCCTAAATTCGAGATAGCTATTCCGAGACTGGACATTGTTTCAGCTACATTTATTTTCTCAAATGCTTCATGATAGTCTTGAATACTAATAGGAGATTCCTCACTACTGTCTGTGCAATCATAAACGGACCTTGCCACCATAAAGACACAATTTAGTCTGTCTTGTTTCAGTAGATGAAGATGAGAAAATTCTGATAAGTCTACAAAGGGCCGGTTTTCCATTTCATTTATAAAAGAAGGAAGCTGCATTGTCAAAGAAAGTTGGAAAAAGACTTTAGCAATATGATACCTCCCGTGGATAACACACACACTGCCTAAAGTGTTCAAGTTATTTATAATGCCCTCGAAGTTTTTGTTTAGGTATGTTTGACACTTCAGCTGCTGTTGTACAATATACGAAGGAAGATGTCTTGAGAGATTTTCGAAATGGCTTAGTAAAGTCCTGGTTTTGATAATGTCCGCAACAGAGTTTTTATCAAAGGATTTCAGAAGAGCTGAAAAAGCAGATATTACAGCAAGCATATTGAATTTTTCACTTTCCTCTTGACGACGTTTCTCTTGAAGACAATGGTGCACAATTTGATGCGTAGTAAGTTGATCTCCATCATCAGAAGTCATCACCAAAGAAGATGATCTAATAGTTGAAGCCACTACTTCTTCATCTTCCTTAGGTAAATGTTCACTTACGTACGCAACCACATGCTCAGTTGGGATGGGATCATTAGCTAAGACTGACAGGAATTCAAATGTATGAAAAATAACTTCGTTTCCACAAGTTTCCCTGTCCAATGCCATTCTTACCGATACGGTCATTGAGATACTGTTTTTTTCGAACTCTTTTTCCATGGAATCGCGTTTTCCTACAGCTAGTTTCTCAAGGAACTGCTTCCATGTTGTTGACGCACGGGTCGTTTTCATATACACGCCGGCGCAAGCCAATGCCAGGGGCTGGAAGTCCAAACTTTTAGCGACTTTGAACATCATTTCGTCATCTTCCTCTTTGTCAGATATCTTGGAAAGTACCTTGACGGAATCCTGTTTAGTCATTCCTCGTTTTAGGGATAGGTGCCAGGTATAAGTGTTTTCTGCAATAGACTGCTCATCTTGGGTAGTGACAAGGATCTGGCCGACACCACTTGTCATATCGCCAAATTGTGGCCAGTATTTAGAGTATTCTTTAAGATTTACCACGTTGTCTATGATCATTAACCAGGAAGCATACTTGTCGACTTGTTTGGCCACAAGAAACTTCAGTCGCTGTATCTGTTGTTTTTTAGAAAGGTCTTTCGATGTGGTAATGTCTGTTATAAAACCCGGATAACAATTCAACTTCGTTGCAAATTCGACATAGGACTGGAGCAATGTGTCCATGTTCGTCGCGTTGATGGTCATGACGAAAGCTGGTTGTACAGTATCATCAGAATCAAAATACTCATCTCCAATCTGCCCTGCAAGCACACTCTTACCGCATCCTGGATTACCTGAGAGATAAACTGTCGTTGTTTCTCCCATCTTTCGGTTGGACAATTCTTTCATCTTCTTGGAAATATCTTGGACTTCGTGCTCTCTTGTGATCTGGTCATGGAAGGATTTCGGTGGTAAGACACAAAAAGGTTTGGGCTCTGCATTTCGTTTCTTTTCGTCGTCCAACTCTTTCTTGATGACATAAAATTCTTCGGTTGGAAAGCTTGTTTGGTTTTTCAGTTTCAACAACTCAGTCGTATCTAGTTTTAACGTTATGAACTCGTTCAAAACATTTTGAACAGACGTTTGGAAATCTGCATCTTTCAATCTTCCTTCCGCATTATGGGCAACTTCATTCCGACTCTCACGTAAAATATCGACACTTTTCTTAACATTAGGTTTTAATTTGGGTCCAATGCTGTCCGAGAAAAGAATGGCATAAGATAAACAAGTACTGTCCCAGTTTGTTCGGTCACCATTTGTCATTATCCCCAGAAGGCGCTTGTTCTTTTTGCGATTCCTCGGAGACTCCATGCTTTGAAAGGACGCAAAATTGGCCGGCGTGTCCATCCATGGTCCGTGTGTGCTTGTGTAGTGAGTATCCCATTGTTGCTTGAAAATCTCTCTCAGACCTTCTGGGATAACACTAGCGACAATTTTACATAGTCTGAAATAGTTGAGTTCTTCGTCGCTATATGCTTGCATCTTCCTGCAATTCCAAGACGAGATTGTAAATACTATACTTAAAATTCGTTGGATGTTTCCAGGTAAACCGGTTTCTTGAGCTGTGGCCCTTTTTGGACACGAAAGTTTTCGAAGGACACAGTGCAGTCTTTTAATTATTTCGTCAATTCATGGCCTTTCCGGAATTAAAAAAGAGACTAGGAACGAGTATGAAACTAAATGATCCACTTACCAAAAACTAATCCTCACCACATGAAAAAATAATAATATTTTATACTCCAATTAGTGCTATTTTCGAACCTTTTTGATTTAAAACTCACTAGAATTTTTTTTATTTAATTCAGTAACAAGATACACAAGACAGAAAATATGGCTGTGGACGTTTCTCTAAAACTT